CACACTGTCTCTCACACATTCACACACTCTTGCTCCCACACATACAAACACACACTCTGTCTCTCACACATTCACACACTCTTGCTCCCACACATACAAACACACACTCTGTCTCTCACACATTCACACACTCTTGCTCCCACACATACAAACACACACTCTGTCTCTCACACATTCACACACTCTTGCTCCCACACATACAAACACACACTCTGTCTCTCACACATTCACACACTCTTGCTCCCACACATACAAACACACACTCTGTCTCTCACACATTCACACACTCTTGCTCCCACACATACAAACACACACTCTGTCTCTCACACATTCACACACTCTTGCTCCCACACATACAAACACACACTCTGTCTCTCACACATTCACACACTCTTGCTCCCACACATACAAACACACACTCTGTCTCTCACACATTCACACACTCTTGCTCCCACACATACAAACACACACTCTGTCTCTCACACATTCACACACTCTTGCTCCCACACATACAAACACACACTCTGTCTCTCACACATTCACACACTCTTGCTCCCACACATACAAACACACACACTGTCTCTCACACATTCACACACTCTTGCTCCCACACATACAAACACACACTCTGTCTCTCACACATTCACACACTCTTGCTCCCACACATACAAACACACACTCTGTCTCTCACACATTCACACACTCTTGCTCCCACACATACAAACACACACTCTGTCTCTCACACATTCACACACTCTTGCTCCCACACATACAAACACACACTCTGTCTCTCACACATTCACACACTCTTGCTCCCACACATACAAACACACACTCTGTCTCTCACACATTCACACACTCTTGCTCCCACACATACAAACACACACACTGTCTCTCACACATTCACACACTCTTGCTCCCACACATACAAACACACACTCTGTCTCTCACACATTCACACACTCTTGCTCCCACACATACAAACACACACTCTGTCTCTCACACATTCACACACTCTTGCTCCCACACATACAAACACACACTCTGTCTCTCACACATTCACACACTCTTGCTCCCACACATACAAACACACACTCTGTCTCTCACACATTCACACACTCTTGCTCCCACACATACAAACACACACTCTGTCTCTCACACATTCACACACTCTTGCTCCCACACATACAAACACACACTCTGTCTCTCACACATTCACACACTCTTGCTCCCACACATACAAACACACACTCTGTCTCTCACACATTCACACACTCTTGCTCCCACACATACAAACACACACTCTGTCTCTCACACATTCACACACTCTTGCTCCCACACATACAAACACACACTCTGTCTCTCACACATTCACACACTCTTGCTCCCACACATACAAACACACACACTCTGTCTCTCACACATTCACACACTCTTGCTCCCACACATACAAACACACACACTGTCTCTCACACATTCACACACTCTTGCTCCCACACATACAAACACACACTCTGTCTCTCACACATTCACACACTCTTGCTCCCACACATACAAACACACACTCTGTCTCACACACATTCACACACTCTTGCTCCCACACATACAAACACACACTCTGTCTCTCACACATTCACACACTCTTGCTCCCACACATACAAACACACACTCTGTCTCTCACACATTCACACACTCTTGCTCCCGCACATACAAACACACACACTGTCTCTCACACATTCACACACTCTTGCTCCCACACATACAAACACACACTCTGTCTCTCACACATTCACACACTCTTGCTCCCACACATACAAACACCTGAAGCTGTGAAAGCGCCCATAAATCCCACTCACTCACTCACTCACTCACTCACTCACTCACTCACTCACTCACTCACTCACTCACTCACTCACTCACTCACTCACTCACTCACTCACTCACTCACTCACTCACTCACTCACTCACTCACTCACTCACTCACTCACTCACTCACTCACTCACTCACTCACTCACTCACTCACTCACTCACTCACTCACTCACTCACTCACTCACTCACTCACTCACTCACTCACTCACTCACTCACTCACTCACTCACTCACTCACTCACTCACTCACTCACTCACTCACTCACTCACTCACTCACTCACTCACTCACTCACTCACTCACTCACTCACTCACTCACTCACTCACTCACTCACTCACTCACTCACTCACTCACTCACTCACTCACTCACTCACTCACTCACTCACTCACTCACTCACTCACTCACTCACTCACTCACTCACTCACTCACTCACTCACTCACTCACTCACTCACTCACTCACTCACTCACTCACTCATCTCGTTCTACTGCAGCAGAGACTGATGTCTCCGGGTCGGGCTACGGGAACACCGGGTTCGAAGCTTCAACCCTCGAAGGTATACCCGCTTTGCCAAGGAAAACAAGTGTCTTCTCAATACACGAAGGTGAGCCTATCACAGCTGAATGTAGTCGATAGATACACACAGCTGCATCGGGACATGGACTGGAACATGTCGTCAATACGCGTGTTCTGTCATACATGTTAGTATCTTGTACGATAGTTTTAAGTAACGTCCAAGAAAGCCCTGCGATAGTCTATTGTTAGAAGTCCCCTTTAACGAGATCCCGAAGCTGTAAGTCCCTCAACGAATGCCCGCAGCTGTAAGTCCCTCAACGAATGCCCGCAGCTGTAAGTCCCTCAACGAATGCCCGCAGCTGTAAGTCCCTCAACGAGAACGCACAGCTGTACGTCCTCACAGCGAGAACCCACAGCTGTATGTCCATTCAGTGAGAACCCACAGCTGTAAGTCCACTCAGAGAGAAACCACAGCTGTAAGTCCACACGGAGAGAACCCACAGCTGTAAGTCCATTCAGCGAGAACCCACAGCTGTAAGTCCACTCAGAGAGAAACCACAGCTGTAAGTCCACACGGAGAGAACCCACAGCTGTAAGTCCACACAGCGAGAACCCACAGCTGTCAGTCCACTCAGCGAGAACCCACAGCTGTTTGTCCCTCAGTCCCTCAGCGTAGCTATCTTCATTAAGACTTCAACAAGAGCCAACAACAAGAACCCACTGACTACTATAAACTGAACTGACTACTATAAACTGAACTGACTACTATAAACTGAACTGACTACTATAAACTCAACTGACTACTATAAACTCAACTGACTACTATAAGCAGTAACTGACCGATATACACACAACCAGTGACAGACCACCATACAGACAAGGGGGCATGGGTGGCCCATTCGTCTGACGCGCCGCGATTCGCTGTGCAGAGTTGCGTCCCGGCACAACAGAAACCCATTAATGTGGGTTCGAATCCCGGGTCGCCCCGATTATGTTTCTAGGTTTGTCAGCACCATACCCGTGCTCGTGACTCGAAGTGGTGAACGTCTGAGACCTGCATCACTTCGGGCTTTCCTCCCACATTAAGCTGACACGCCGCGATATAACTGGAATACTGTTAAAAGCGGCGTTAAACCCAACTCACTCACTCACTCACTCTACATCAACCAGTGACTGAGATGTAACAGCAGTTTTTCGTTCCTTGTGATCCAGATGATGAGGACAACCGTGGCAATTCATTCACCGGTTTCTTTGTGCCAGAACCGAACCAGGCCCCGGAGTCAGGTACACATCTTACTATAAGTATTGTATTATTAGTATTGTATTATTAGTATTGTATTATTAGTATTGTATTATTAGTATTGTATTATTAGTATTGTATAATTAGTATTGTATTATTAGTATTGTACTATTAGTATTGTATTATTAGTATTGTATTATTAGTATTGTATTATTAGTATTGTATTATTAGTATTGTATTATTAGTATAGTATTATTATGTAGTACAGAACCATTGTCTAACTGTAGTGTCGTTAGCGGTAGGGATGGCTCAAGATTAACAAACGGTGACAGGTTGAGTCTCATTGTCGTGCCAGGATCCGCAGGTTGTGGGTTCGAATCCCAGATTCAACCCGATTATGATCATTGACCTGAAAGCAACACTGTCGTTCTCGAAGACCAAAATGGTAACTAAAAATGATTGTCGGATTTCTTTGAGATATTTGTATTGCAATTACCAATAACATTACCGTTGAGAACAAAGCTAGAAATGTTCAATATGTACTGAGATAAAATACCGTCAGGGATCATGAATATTTTTGAGAATATTTTTATGTTAATCGTGTGCCCAATTTTCAGTACAAAACTTATCTAAAATGTATTCACGATCCCTTATACTTTACAAGCTGCAAATTGGTATCAACAACCCATGCTTGTCGTACAGGTGACTATGCTTGTCGTACAGGTGACCATGCTTGTCGTACAGGTGACTATGCTTGTCGTACAGGTGACTCTGCTTGTCGTACAGGTGACTATGCTTGTCGTACAGGTGACTATGCTTGTCGTACAGGTGACTATGCTTGTCGTACAGGTGACTATGCTTGTCGTACAGGTGACCATGCTTGTCGTACAGGTGACTATGCTTGTCGTACAGGTGACTCTGATTGTCGTACAGGTGACTATGCTTGTCGTACAGGTGACCATGCTTGTCGTACAGGTGACTATGCTTGTCGTACAGGTGACTCTGCTTGTCGTACAGGTGACTATGCTTGTCGTACAGGTGACTATGCTTGTCGTACAGGTGACCATGCTTGTCGTACAGGTGACTATGCTTGTCGTACAGGTGACTATGCTTGTCGTACAGGTGACTATGCTTGTCGTACAGGTGACCATGCTTGTCGTACAGGTGACTCTGCTTGTCGTACAGGTGACTATGCTTGTCGTACAGGTGACTATGCTTGTCGTACAGGTGACTATGCTTGTCGTACAGGTGACCATGCTTGTCGTACAGGTGACCATGCTTGTCGTACAGGTGACTCTGCTTGTCGTACAGGTGACTATGCTTGTCGTACAGGTGACTCTGCTGTCGTGTCACGGGATTTCTGGATCATCGATCACTGGATTGTCGACCCGTGAAGATTCCGTGGTAGTATGGGTCAGCAACCCATGCATGCCGTAAAAGGCGACTAACGGGATCGGGTGGTCAGGCTCCCTGACTTGGTTGATGCATGTCATCGATCCCAATTGCGTGGATCGATGCTCATGTTGTCAATCACTGGATTGTCTGGTCCAGACTCGATTATTTTTACAGACCGCCGTCATATAGCTGGAATATTGCTGAGTGCGGCGTTAACCAACAAACAAAGAAACAAAACGTGATTGTCTGGTTTGTTTACAGACTGACGTCGCATGGCAGGAGTACTGCTGTGCTGCGCCAGGCAATAAGTACTGACATTTGTATGCAGATTGTGTGAATGGCGGGTGCTGCCGGTAGAGCAGGACATGCTTACCCTTGTAGAGAACACCTGGTGTCATCACTGATTGTCCGTGGCCCATTCATACCATTCCCGAAGTTATTTTGCTCTTTACGCCAAGTGGAATCTGTTTCGGCAGAAAATCTTGCTCTGTTATTCTCCTGCATTGACAATTATATATGTTCTTGTCACACAGTCAACGACCCTTGAACCCCTGTCTGCACTTAAAGTATTTTTGACCCCTGAACCCCTCTCTGCTCTTAAGTCTTTTTGACCCCTGAACCACTGTCTGCTCTTAAGTATTTTTGACCCCTGAACCCCTCTCTGCTCTTAAGTCTTTTTGACCCCTGAACCACTGTCTGCTCTTAAGTATTTTTGACCCCTGAACCCATCTCTGCTCTTAAGTCTTTTTGACCCCTGAACCACTGTCTGCTCTTGATGTATTTTGACCCTTGAACCACTGTCTGCTCTTAAGGCATTGTGACCTTGAAACCCTGTCTGCGCTAAGGTTATGTTTGGGTATTCGTATCTCTTCTGACATATACCGTGATCCCCGTGGCAACTAAAATTATTCTGGTCATCAAAGCCAATCCCATTTCAAGTGACAGTAGTTAGTGAGATGATAAATATAAGTTTCGACATAACTGTCTCCCCAACAGATTACTTCCTTGACGTCGTTGTGAATTACAGTAGGAACCGTGACAGCAAGAACAGGAAATTCGAAAAAAAGTTCTTTTTTTTTACCCCATTCGTCTACCAAAGCGGGTTTAGTTGTTATTGAAGTACATGACGTCATCCATTATATCATGACGTCATAGTGTTCCTCAATGACGTGATGTATGTCTTCGGTAGGGGTAAGCTACTTACCCTTTTCACCAATCTGATTAAAATCAGACATCAGTTCTCGCTACCGCTAAACAAAGATCCAAGGACATCCCATTAGGGGTCATGTCAGAACGACCTTTCATCCGACCAATCAGAGCATCGCTTACCAGATTATGAAAGTGACTGTCGGAATGTGATTTCTAATCATGCAACCTCGAAAACTTTAACTCCGAACGGTTGTTACGGGTTTAACGACTGAATCCATACAATCTGGACCACCTGTTAGCCATTCCAGAATGTTCCTTGTTCAGGTTTCAAATTTGTAATCGAGAATGTATCCAAATATGTTTCGAAGAGTAGTCTCCAATTTGAAATTAGTGTCGCAAAGCACGAGAAACCTGCCTTCTGATTGGTCATTCCATTGGTCGGTCAAAGTTCGCGCAAGGTCGGTCTGACGTGACCCGTAATGGGATGTCCTCAGATCCATGTTTAGCGGTAGCGAGAACTGAGATCTGATTTTAATGAGATTGCCTTTTCACGAACATCTGATGTCAACACTGATTCACTGCCACGAGCACCTAGTTGCATTCTACGCCCATGAATTATGTTTCGGCTGATAATCGAGACTGGTTATTCTCTGGCGTGCCGTGGCGTTCTCTGGCTGACTGACGAGAAAGAGAGTGTGCGTTTGAGATTTGGCGGGCGTTATGTAATACTCAGTCAAGTCTCGTTAATCCGACATCGTTGGTTGCACATGATTGTGTCGGATTAACGAGTACGTCGGATTAACGAAATTAAGTGATTTGTGATCGAAAATCGGACATCTTCACGATAACCGTGTGTACCTTGTAATAAAATCATTAAAAAGGAAATATTAATATTGTTATGTTGTTTATTCATTCCTTAATTTATAATAAATGACTATGCAAAAATAATAATAATTTCCCCATTTATACATAACAATAGAGACATTACTCACTGAATTTATCACATGATCAACGACACACGATTCCTCGTGTAAATGCAAGTGCTACTGTCTTAACAACTTGCTTCATCTACTTAAAATAGTCTGTCAGTGCGTGTCAAAACACGGGGTTGTGTACTCGCGGTCAGATGACCACGGAGTACGCTGATCACTGTGTCGGATTAACGAGACTGATTAATGAGTGAATTCGGCAATTCGTTGCAAATTAGGTGTGTCGGAGTCGGAGTGCGAGAATTTCGGATTAACGGGACTAAATAGCAATGAATCAATCGGTTCCCATCATTTGTGTCGGATAAAGCCGAGTGTCAGATTAACGAGTGTCGGATTAACGAGACTTGACTGTACTCGATGGGCGTAAATGGGCGCTTTTAAAGCCCAGGTTTTCGACGTTTATTTCAAATGACCTTTCCGGGCATCGAAGCCACAATAACACCACAGAAGAAACTTGACAGCTTGGATTGCTTGTCATCATGTAAAATGTAAACTGAAAAAGAAAAATTGACCTTCGCTCGTCAATGCTTTGATAGTGCAAACTAGTGACTATAATACGCCCTTCTATAAATGTTCAGATTACGTTAACAAGAGAAAGTTCAAACATAATATATGTACGACATCTTTCATGTGTTTTAACTCAACAATCCCCAAACATGACAAGTTGGAAAGATGGCAATCACATATTTATGCATGTTCAATGTTTGTTTCTTTTCTTTAACAGACTACGACCAGTTGCCCATTGGGCGAAAACCCTTGGAGACCACAGCTACTGGTACTGAACTAGGAATTAACAATAACATATATCATATGATGAAAACGGCGTTGGTGCAATTAGGTGCAAGGTTATTGCGAAGTGTGGCTGTTTGTACTTGTCGGGACTAATGCCGGTTTTACAGTGCGAAACATTGTGATACCATGCTGTAGTTTAACATGAATACCCCACTCAGACAGCTGAGATAAAATGGAGTTTAACGTCGCGTCCAAGATGCTTGCACTTATATTACGACGTGCATGCACGTGTGTGTGTGTGTGTGTGTGTGTGTGTGTGTGTGTGTGCGTGCGTGCGTGCGTGCGTGCGTGCGTGTGTGTGGCTGCTTGTACTAGTCCGGACTGGTGCCGATTTATAGTGCTAGCTTACTAAGATACCAATCCGCAGTTTAACATGAATACCCCCCTCAGATACAGTATACTGACTCCGAGCCGACCAGTCCTTGTTTTAGCCCGTTTATGTCGAGCCCCAGGCAGGGTAACAACAAGTACCAACTTTTAACGTCTTTTGGTATGACGCGGCCGGGGATCGAACCGGGCGGACGCTCTACCACTTGACCACGGAGGCGGTCCCCCCAGACAGAGTATAAGCTGAGCCGACCAGTACTTGTTTTATCCATTTAAAATGCCGAGCACCAGGTTGGGTAACAACAAGTACCATTTTGTAATGTCTTTTGGTATGACGCGGCCAGGGATCGAACCTCTGACCTTCCGCTCTCCGGGCGGACGCTCTACCACTAGACCACGGAGGCGGTCCCCCCAGACAGAGTTTAAGCTGAGCCGACCAGTACTTGTTTTATTAATTTAAAACGCCGAGCACCAGGTAACAACAAGTACCACCTTGTAACGTCTCTTGGTGAACAAGTAATGGGGTTTCTGACATCGAACTGCAACAATAAGACGACGTTATGACCTTTGTAATGGATTTAGTATCAAGGTCAATGTCACTTCAAGGTCATATGTTTTGTTCACTGCGTCACATCTCTCCATCTTCTCCAACCTCACGTGTAAAATGTTTTAATTGTTTTGGTCCTTGCCTTTCGGTAATTGAACTGTGTTCTGCTGCAGATGCTGGTGAGGATGACGAGGAAGGGATGAAGGCTGACTACATGAATGTTTTGGAGGCTAGGGGCGCGCATCACCAGGCGGAAAAGGAAGAATATATTAACTACCCTGCCATTTCCTGCTAGAGTGAGTGAGTGAGTGAATTTGGGTTTACGCTGCTTTAAGCAATTTTCCAGCGATATCACGGCGGGGAGCACCAGAAAAAGGCTTCACACATTGAACCTATGTGGGGAATAGAACTCGGGGGTTCGGCGTGACGAGCGAACGCTTTCACCACAAGGCTACTCCACCGCCCCGTCCTGCTGGAGATTAAGTGGAGATTAACGCGGCTTGAAACGGTATTTTAGTTACAACACGACTTGTCAACTTGATGTGGAAGATATTAGTGAGTGAGTGAGTGAGTATGTGTTAACGCTGCTTTTAGCAATATTCCAGCAATATCAAGGCGGGGGACACCAGAAATGGGCTTCACACATTGTACCCATGTTGGGAATCGAACCCGGGACTTCGGCGTAACGAGCGAAGGTTCTAATCACTAGGCTACCCGACCGCCCCTGGACGATATGAGCAAACACCGTAAACTGCAGTAGTAGTAATAGTAGTAGTAGTAGTAGTAGTAGTAGTAGTAGTAGTAGTAGTACTAGTAATCATACTTCGATTCCAGTTGAATTGTAATTTTGTACTATATATTTATGCACTGTCCATTAATATACATGTGTACGGATGACTGATGGCGTGCGTTAACGGGATTTCACTGTAACAATGACGAATTTAACTGTTACTGGTTAAAACTGTTTGTAAGTATTCCTATTTTACTTGATGTTAGAGTTTTATAAATGAAAGTGTTAGTATACACTATATCACCAGGAATGCACATCAAAAGCATGGGTTGCTGAAGACCTATTTTATAACCCGGATGTTCACGGGGCCACGCAATTGTCACAGTTTGTTTGTTTGTTTGTTTTTGGTTGGTTGGGGTAGAATAGGTCTTCAGCAACCCATGCTTGTCGTAAAAGGCGACGAACGGGTGGATCGGGTGGTCAGGCTCGCTGACTTGGTTGAAGCATGTCATCGTATCCCAATTGCATGAGATGTTCATGTTGTCAATCACTGGATTGTCTGATCCAGACTCAATTATTTACAGACCGCCGTCATATAGCTGGAATATTGCTGAGTGCGGCGTAAAACAACAAACCAACCAACAACCAACAATCATATCGGAGACTCTCCGGATTGAGAAGAGATTGAAGGTCGGCAAACCAATATGGGCGCACAAATAATATCCACTGGACACGAGCCCCGTGTTTTTCAAATCAGTGGCGTGGTTAATCTACCGTTACGTGAAAGCATAGCGAGTGTAAATCCTTTGACACGATCCCCATGCTTGTGATAACAGTGGCGTGGTTAAACTACCGTAACTTGCGGGCATAGCGAGAGTAAATCCTTTGACACGATCCCCATGCTTGTGATAACAGTGGCGTGGTTAAACTACCGTAACTTGCGGGCATAGCGAGAGTAAATCCTTTGACACGATCCCCATGCTTGTGATAACAGTGGCGTGGTTAAACTACCGTAACTTGCGGGCATAGCGAGAGTAAATCCTTTGACACGATCCCCATGCTTGTGATAACAGTGGCGTGGTTAAACTACCGTAACTTGCGGGCATAGCGAGAGTAAATCCTTTGACACGATCCCCATGCTTGTGATAACAGTGGCGTGGTTAAACTACCGTAACTTGCGGGCATAGCGAGAGTAAATCCTTTGACACGATCCCCATGCTTGTGATAACAGTGGCGTGGTTAAACTACCGTAACTTGCGGGCATAGCGAGAGTAAATCCTTTGACACGATCCCCATGCTTGTGATAACAGTGGCGTGGTTAAACTACCGTAACTTGCGGGCATAGCGAGAGTAAATCCTTTGACACGATCCCCATGCTTGTGATAACAGTGGCGTGGTTAAACTACCGTAACGTGCGGGTATAGCGAGAGTAAATCCTTTGACACGATTCCCATGCTTGTGATAACAGTGGCATGGTTAAACTACCGTAACGTGCGGGCATAGCGAGAGTAAATCCTTTGACACGATCCCCATGCTTGTGATAACAGTGGCGTGGTTAAACTACCGTAACGTGCGGGTATAGCGAGAGTAAATCCTTTGACACGGTCCCCATGCTTGTGATAACAGTGGCGTGGTTAAACTACCGTAACTTGCGGGCATAGCGAGAGTAAATCCTTTGACACGATCCCCATGCTTGTGATAACAGTGGCGTGGTTAAACTACCGTAACTTGCGGGCATAGCGAGAGTAAATCCTTTGACACGATCCCCATGCTTGTGATAACAGTGGCGTGGTTAAACTACCGTAACGTGCGGGTTTTAGCGAGAGTAAATCCTTTGACACGATTCCCATGCTTGTGATAACAGTGGCATGGTTAAACTACCGTAACGTGCGGGCATAGCGAGAGTAAATCCTTTGACACGATCCCCATGCTTGTGATAACAGTGGCGTGGTTAAACTACCGTAACGTGCGGGTATAGCGAGAGTAAATCCTTTGACACGGTCCCCATGCTTGTGATAACAGTGGCGTGGTTAAACTACCGTAACGTGCGGGTATAGCGAGAGTAAATCCTTTGACACGATCCCCATGCTTATGATAACAGTGGCGTGGTTAAACTACCGTAACGTTCGGGTATAGCGAGTGTTAATCCTTTGACACGATCCCCATGCTTGTGATAACAGTGGCGTGGTTAAACTTACCGTAACGTTCGGGTATAGCGAGTGTTAATCCTTTGACACGATCCCCATGCTTGTGATAACAGCGGCGTGGTTAAACTACCGTAACGTTCGGGCATAGCGAGTGTTAATCCTTTGACACGATCCCCATACTTGTGATAACAGTGGCGTGGTTAAACTTACCGTTACGTTCGGGTATAGCGAGTGTTAATCCTTTGACACGGTCCCCTTGCTTATGATAACAGCGGCGTAGTTAAACTACCGTAACGTGCGGGCATAGCGAGAGTAAATCCTTTGACACGATCCCCATGCTTGTGATAACAGTGGCGTAGTTAAACTTACCGTTACGTGCGGGCATAGCGAGTGTAAATCCTTTGACACGGTCCCCATGCTTGTGATAACAGTGGCGTGGTTAAACTTACCGTTACGTGCGGGCATAGCGAGTGTAAATCCTTTGACACGGTCCCCATGCTTGTGATAACAGTGGCGTGGTTAAACTTACCGTTACGTGCGGGCATAGCGAGAGTAAATCCTTTGACACGATCGTGATATATACTACTCAAAGAAGATAAGCACAACCCGTTTCCTTCATATTACGACAGGAGCGTGACAGACTTTATATATTACTAGGAGAATCGGGTGGTGCTTAACTTCCAGAGGAGTATATCTGAAAAACTGCCACACTACCAAGTATTTTTGTTTTGTTTTATGCATTGTTTATTTCAAATAATGATCATTTTGTATATAATAATTTGGTTTTAAAAGCTTTGTTACGAATATCTTGTCTTATGCCATGTTATAATGTTATGTAATATGCAAATTTGCTGAATTGATATTTGTTTGTTATATTTAATTCAATGTTATGCTATGTTTAACATTCACAAGTGTACGTAATGCTACATATGTAAGAGGCGACTATGTTTGCCGTAAGAGGCGACTATGTTTGCCGTAAGAGGCGACTATGCTTGCCGTAAGAGGCGACTATGCTTGCCGTAAGAGGCGACTATGCTTGCCGTAAGAGGCGACTATGCTTGCCGTAAGAGGCGACTATGTTTGCCGTAAGAGGCGACTATGCTTGCCGTAAGAGGCGACTATACTTGCCGTAAGAGGCGACTATGCTTGCCGTAAGAGGCGACTATGCTTGCCGTAAGAGGCGACTATGTTTGCCGTAAGAGGCGACTATGCTTGCCGTAAGGGGCCACTATACTTGCCGTAAGAGGCGACTATGCTTGCCGTAAGAGGCGACTATGCTTGCCGTAAGAGGCGACTATGCTTGCCGTAAGAGGCGACTAACGGGATTGTGTGGTCAGGCTCGCTGACGTGGTTGATTCATGTCATCGTATCCGAGTTTTGTAGATCTATGCTCATGATGTCAATCACTGGATTGTCTGGTCATGACTGTGTCTTCTGTATTGGTTATCTTATACCACCTTGTGTAACGATATCATTATTTTGTTAAGTTTCACTTATCTGTTAGATTTATATACACAATAAAAAAAAGTTTGTTGTTCTGTTTTGTGTTGTGGCAGCCGCATGTGCGACCTTTCACCAATTTAAATTGTCACCATTTCAGCTATTTCACAGCGGGGACATCAATAATGGGATTACACATTGTACCCTTGTAGGGGATTGAACCCAGGTCTTCTTCGCAGCTCTAACACAACATAGCCCACCTCCCCTCTCTCCATTGAAGGCCAATAGATCCGCAACAATGACAAAAACAATCAGTGATGGTCTCGTCAGTGGACGAATTGAATACGCACCACGTCCCCGTATTGACCAGATCCTCGTATTCACCAGATGCCCATATTCACCAGATCCTCGTATTGACCAGATCCTCGTATTCACCAGATGCCCATATTCACCAGATCCCCGTATTAACCAGATCCTCGTATTCACCAGATGCCCATATTCACCAGATCCTCGTATTGACCAGATCCTCGTATTCACCAGATGCCCGTATTGACCAGATCCTCGTATTGACCAGATCCTCGTATTCACCAGATCCTCGTATTCACCAGATCTTCGTATTCACCAGATGTCCGTATTGACCAGATCCCCGTATTCACCAGATGTCCGTATTGACCAGATGCCCGTATTCACCAGATGCCCGTATTCACCAGATCCCCGTATTTACCAGATCCCCGTATTGACCAGACCCCCGTATTGATCAGATGTCCGTATTGACCAGATGCCCGTATTGATCAGATGTCCGTATTGACCAGATGTCCGTATTGACCAGATGCCCGTATTGACCAGATGCCCGTATTGACCAGATAACGATCTTCATAGTATTTTTGACAATGGTCTAAACATTGACCTGCATGTTCATACTGACCATGATCTTCATATTGACCCAGATATATATGTTGATCATAATCTTCATATTGACCCAGATATATATGTTGATCATAATCTTCATATTGACCAGGATCTTTATATTGATCAGATTCTTCGTATTGACCCAGATATATATGTTGATCATAATCTTCATATTGACCAGGATCTTTATATTGATCAGATTCTTCGTATTGACCCAGATATATATGTTGATCATAATCTTCATATTGACCAGGGTCTTTATGTTAACCCCGATCTCTGTGCTGAATATGATCTTCACATTGGCCCGGATCTAAGTATTAATCAGGAACTACAATCCTATCACAATGTCTTCAATTTGATCGGGACACATACATGTGAAATTTAAGCAATATGGGAAAATCCCACTCGCGTTTGTTCGACAATTACACGCCCTGCACTCCTATCTCCCCTTTCAACGGACCAACCCAAACATATTTATGCCAAATAATTGCGTTTTGACTGAACAAGAAATGGCAATATGTTATTGAATTTAGAAGCCGGTTATGATTTCATATTAGCACGATGTACTATTTGAACGGAACGTTACAATTTGAGGTTTCCAATATCCGCCCCGTATACTTAGTGAGGGTATTTGTTGTTACCCTGCCTGGCGCTCGGCATTAAGGGGCGACAACAATACAGTCTGAGTGAGGTATTCATGTGAAACTGTTGCGTGGTATCTCAGTGGGCTAGCACACATACACACGCACGCGCGTCCATGCATGTCGCTATATGAATGCAATAATCTTGGACGCGCTGTTAACCCCATTTCACCTCACCTCCTTGACTGCCGATACATGCGAACATGAGATCAGACTTCCAGACGACCTCAGCTGACACTACAACTGCCTTTCTACGGTAACTGGGGTATCATTGGGTGTGGACAGCACCCGCAACTCATTCTTACACT